CTCTGCACCAGATCGTTCCTCTTTATCTTCTCTAAAACCTTCTTGGTCACCTTCAGAGCTCCATCAAGGTTAAAGGTCTTCACCATCAGGTCCACTGTGTCCTGCCTTTCTTTTGCCTTCTCCAGCTTGGATTCTTTGATGGGTTTGTAGCCTTCCAGGATGTCGGGCTGCTTCAGATACCATTTGAAGTTCTTGAATTCCTCATCTTTTAAATCCTCTAGAGTGTTCAAAAGGTCCTCTGCTGTCATCGTGGCTCTAATGTATCAGAGCAACAACAGGAGTTCTGATTTCATTTTGAAGTGGGACACTGCTCACACTTCTTTCAGTTAAAGACAGCCATCTTTGAGTTAAAGCACCACCACATGGAAACTGTAAATGTTAAGGATGCTAATGAACTGTTAGATCCTTTCATTCTTTCAGAAAAACACACAAATAAACAGCTGAAGTCCCATTTTCAGTTAGCTTACGTTCCACCAACTTTTAGTTCTGGAATAAAGGAACTGCTGTTGTTTTTATCTGCGCTGGCAGCAACAACACCAAACAACACCAGAAAGATAAAATCATCCTGAAACCACAGCTTTAAGGTGAACACATTGAAATGTGGATAAGGACACAGTCCTTAATGTTAACCTGAGAAAGCATCCATGTTCCCGTTCCACAGTCAGACTCTGTTTCCTGTCCTGCAGTGCATGAAATAAGAACCAGACCAAAGCTGTGTCACATATCAAACTATTAATAACTACTGATTCCCCCACCATCCAAACATATATATTAGGTTCATTTCTTTTTTCTTCAAAGGGCTTTACATTGTTTGATCCGAGGTGACATCCACAAGATGGCCTCATGGAGCTGAAGAGGATTTTAATGCTCTGCTTCATGAAAACAAAAACTATGTTGTAGTTACTGACTTTGACCATCAGAGGGCATTGAAGAGTCATCAGCTTTCTACCTCCTCCTTCTCTCAACCTCCTCTCCTCTTTCCTCTTCCTCTCCCTTAAAGCAGCAGCTGACAGCAAACAGACACCAAAATCATTTTAAACTATTTCCTCTATCACTCAAACTCATCTCAAATCTCTCAAATGAAAGCTCTTCAGTGTACAAAAAACTAAAAGACTCACCTCCTTGTTCCTGTGAATGTCCGTCACATCAGCAGCTTGCTGCATCTGTTCCAAACCTATTTGTGTTACTTCAAGAAAGACAAGCATTAATGATAATACTAGTAATAATTATATTATAGTCTCATAGTATTTAAACAATTAATCGATTGAACAACGGAACAAAATGATTCAGGCACAATTACTCACAAGCTCACACAAACGTCCTCCTATACACATCAGTCCGGATTATTGCCCTTGTCACACCTCCACCCTCATAAAGAAGGAGCAAAGTCCGCTTGTTACCACAGAGTCTGGCAGGGAAGAGTCCGTTTTATATAATATCACTGTGAGGAAGGTGTAACTTTTCTGCTGTTTCTAGGCTGGATTCACTCAAGTAGTGATCCACTGCAGGTGATCGATCAGAGACCTAAAGAAGCATCTGCATCATTTTAAGCATTTTATTTTAAGTTTGAGATTCAATACAAACTTATGGTTGAAACTGTAAACAGAGAAACCGGAAGTTCATTTACAGAAAATAATCACTATTTAAAACAAAATAAGGAAGGTTACAGAGTGAGTGATGAAGTTACACCATTGCCTGTCTGATGTTGGAGTTTCCTGCGTTGGCTGTGGTTCTTTTCTAAATGAATTGGTGCAAACACTTCTCTCACTTTCTCTCCTCAAATCTGATCACAAACATATTTTACCATTTATCTGGAATATGAGATCATGACCAGGCAACCGTTATTGTTTCCTGCTATTGGACGAGTCGAAACTGTGCAGCCAATGAGAGCAGCTCAACTTGAAGTATGTCACATCCGCTGGCTCCAACTCCACAAACCGATGGGATCAGACTTTAATAAAGGAGTTATTCAGGATATTCAACGTAGTAACAGTTATAATAAGTTCACTATAATAACTATTTACTCTCTTTATGGGTCTAAAGTTCAGTTATAAGCTCCACAAACAGCCAACAAGTTCACTGAAACAATGCATAGTGTATATACTTTCATTTATAGTTTTATATCTTCTAATTTGAACAATATTAGTAATGTTTGTATTAGTGATATTCTTTGTTCTCTGTTTTTGCTCTCATTTGCCCTGTAGCTGCTGTGTCAACCTGAGTTTCTCCTCAGAGGATCAATAAAGGAATATCTCATCCTGACCATTATTTTGAAAAGCGGGCCCGGAAGTGTAGCTAGAAGCTAACAGTTGGGGCAATGTCGGCCCCTGTCAGACTGTTGAGGGGCCGTTATTGGGCTCTCTGCCCGGCGGGTTTCACTCCGGAGCCACGGAGGAATCCCCCGGTGAGGGCTCCGGTCGGCGGACGGTGGCTGTCACACACACAGACAGGTACGGAGATAAAGCTTAGCTGCCTAATGTTAGCCTAACGGTCCTGACGTTTCTTCACAGGATGGAGAAGTCACGTCCCGCCCCTACTCTGCCTCTGATTGGCTCACGCTAATGTTGTCACGCTACTCCCGACCAATCACACCAACGAAGGTGACGAGAACTAACCAATCAGAGGCAGAGCTGGGCGGGTCATGACTTCTCCATCCTGGGGGGGAAAGTAACGGTTGTCGGTGCGATTAGTCTCCTAATCGATAAATAAACATCCTCACGTGACTAAATAAGTGTTATCGGCAGTGAAAAGTGAGTTGAAACGGTATTAAAATGTGTCTGCGGCTCCACGACTCACATTAATGGATGCATGAAGTTTAATAATCTTTCTTGGTCAAAGTCGAACTAATTGAGTTTGATGAGTTAATGATTTATAGACACACAGCAGCAGACAGTCACAGCTCATAACTCTCTTTGTGTGCTCATTGAATGCACCCCCCAAAATATGGAAATATAGATTATATTAAAGAAAGAGAAACAGTTATTTCATTGTAATCGCTTCAACCAGCTTTCAGTCACTAACTATTCCCCAGAGGGTTTAATTCAGTAAAGTTTATGACATTATTAGTTGAAATCAATTCATTAAAATCACATTTTATATGTTTTAAAGGAAGACAGAATTATTGGATTTTGATATTAAAATACAAAGAAATTGAGTTTTTATAAACGTTTTGGCGGACATTGTTAAATAGGGGAACATTGTAACAGGATGTGATGTTAAAGAGTTTTTAAAGACAAAAATAGATAAATAAAAAGCAATATAAGTATAAATTGAACCCGTGTCTGTTTATGGTACGAGCTTGTTTTTATCTGAAATGTCAAAGTTAATCTGATTCACCATCTAAGTTTAATGTCAACAGGAGCAAACCTTCGACCACTGGAGGGCGTCAGAGTGTTAGACATGACAAGGTACGAGTCCGTCTGCAGTAACGTCTTCATGTCGTTTCTTTGAACCCGTCTGTATTTTAAATGAAATATATTCAAATGTCTGCAGAGTGCTGGCCGGTCCCTTCGCCACCATGATCCTGGGAGATCTGGGAGCTGAGGTGATCAAAGTGGAGAGACCAGGTGAGTCTTTACCTTTCATTCTACCTCGCTGTGTCCTTCTGCCTGAGTGAGAGTCAGGAGGGGTTGTGGTTTTGTTAAACAGGTGCAGGCGATGACACCAGAGCCTGGGGTCCTCCGTTTGTCGGCACTGAGAGCGTCTATTTCCTGAGCGTCAACCGAAACAAAAAGGTAAGTGCAGAACAAAACAAATGTCTGTGTTTAACTTGTGAACGCTTCTTGGTGTTAAATATCACATATAAATATGTCAATATCTTTAAAAAGGTATAGAAGGATCCCACACTCAGTTTATGCTACATTAAGTGTTAATATAGAGCCTCTGATGATGGATCGTATGATTTCAGAGTATTTCAGTGGACCTCAAACATCCCAGAGGAGCCAACGTCATCCAGGAGGTACGACTCGTTCACAGCAGAAACTTGTCCAATGGTGGAGTTTGACGATATTAATACACGTGAGAGTATCAGAGTTTCAGTACGAATACCACAGTTTACTTTAATATGAACATATTGTTCTGTGTGTGTGTGTGTGTGTGTGTGTGTGTGTGTGTGTGTGTCTCAGCTTGCAG